ATCCTCCCGCCTCGTCCCTTTCTCCCGCCTCCTCCCTTCCTCCTCCCCCTCCCTCCTCCTGTCGTCCTCCTGCCTCTTTCTCCTCCCCCTCGTCCTCCGCCGCCTCCTCCTCTTCCTTCTCCTCCTCCCTCCTCCTCTCTCCTCCTCCTCCTCCTCCTCCTCCTCCTCCTCCTCCTCCTCCTCCTCCTCCTCCTCCTCCTCCTCCTCCTCCTCCTCCTCTCCTCCTCCTCCTCCTCCTCCTCCTCTCTTCCTCCTCCTCTCCTCCTCCCGCCTCCTCCTCCCTCCTCCGCTCCCTCCGCCTCCTCCTCCCTCCTCCCTCCTCATCGTCCTCATCCCCTCCCCCTCCTCCTCCTCCTCCCATCCTCCTCCTCCTCCTCCTCCTCCTTCTCCTCCTCCCTCCTCATCCTTCTGCTCCTCTTCCTCTTCATCTCCCTCTTCCTCCTCCTCGTCCTCCTCCTGCGTTCCTCCCACCCAGTACAGCGTGTTCTTGGCCCCTGAGAAAGCTCCACCGAAGATTCCAGTGGCGCAGTCCGCTGGCGTCTCTCCCACCCAGTACATCGTTTCGTGGCCCTAGAATGGGGGCTTCAACCAAGACTGTACCTGCATCTGCGGTTTTCACAACAGCATATGGCTGGGTCCTTCGCCAGGCTCATGTTCCGATGCTATGTCTTGCGATGCTGTATTATCTTACGCCGCGCACTGTCACGCCACGCTTTGACATGTTATGTAATGGCATGTGCTGCGATTGTGCGCTACGGTGTGGCGTGTTCTGTCATAGTACAGTATGGGGTGATCTGTTCTGCCATGGTATGGTATGCTCTGTTTTGCTATGTTATGGTTGGTCCGATATGTCACAGCATGCGTCGATAGTATGCGCTCTGTTATGGTCCTGTGTGCCATGCCATGCGATGGTATGGCATGTTTATTTGGTATACTCAGTTATTCGCCCATGTGTTAAGCGTATGATTACTGTGTAAAGTTATGTAATGAAAGGTGCTGTGATGCTGCGCTATGGTGTCCAGCGCTCTGCTATGGTGTGTCATATTACGATGTGGTCTGTCATGATATTGTATGGTTTGCTCGGGTACGTTCTGTTCGGTGGGTGGTGTGGTGTTATGCTCTGTTCTGTGGGTGACCTGGGGATGTGGCGGCCGCAGTATGCAGAATGGGCGAGTCGACGCGGGGGGGCGGGACCACCAGGTATGATCTTGAGTTTGGGGTTCTGGCGCCCGCGATATGCAGTGCAGGGGGGGGCGGGACCACCGGGGATGATCGGGAGCCTGGTGATCTGGCGGCCGCGTTATGCAGGGCGGAGAGAGGGCTGGGACCACCAGAGATTGTTTGGAGCCTGGGGACCTGGCGGTCGCGGTATGCAGGGCGGGGGAGGGGGGGGGGGGTGGCTGGGACCACCAGGGATTATCGGGAGCCTGGGGATCTGGCGGTCGCGGTATGCAGGGCGGGGGTGGGGGGCTGGGACCACCAGGGATTATCGGGAGCCTGGGGATCTGGCAACCGCTGTATGCAGGGCGGGCGGGCCGGGAGATCTGTCTTGAAAATCTAGAGACCCCAACCTGTCTGGTGGGGAATAGAAGACCATACACACATACATACATACATACATATATATACATGTGTATATATGTATAGATATATATATATATATATATATACACATGTATGAATGCATCACACCAAAAGAAAGGTGGGCAGGGCGCAGGAGGCCGTGAGCTTCCTAGCGCGCGACGCGGCCGCGCTCTCGGCCGAGCTGCGGGCCCTGGGCAGCGCGCTGCGGGCGGCCCCGGCGGCGCCGGAGCGGCGGCGCCCAGCGCCGCTCCCGGCCGCCCTGTCCCTGCTGTCGCTCGGGAGCGGGCGGGTCAGCGAGAGGAAGGCCTCCCCAGAGCTCGGGGGCGGAAAAGAGGGGGGTGATGACTAGGGGGGGGGTGGACATCATGGTGGGGGCCATGATATTTCCCCAGATTGCATGGCGCCTCTTCCTGTTTCATTACGTCCCTGGCCCCCCCGCTGGGCCGCGCACATGCCGCCGGTCATGATTTGCACCCCCCCTCGTGGACACCCCCCTCTTGGCCGCTCCCGAAATGTGTTCCAGCCTGTCGTTTTAGAATAGCTTCGGGCCCAGGGACCCTCGCAGATCGATGCACCTCGAAAGCGACTCCGTAAGATGGGGTCTAGGGTTCGTTGCGTGATGTTTGGCTATTTAATACTTGTTTCGCAACGTCGGATCTCAGGGTCTAGCATGTCATCCCAGGCGGTGTTCGCCCCCAATCCCCGAGTTCCGCCCGAAAAGTTCGGCCGCTCAGAAAAAAGGACACGCTGGGATACACACCAAGGGGGCTATTCGGACGCGCCCATATCGAGGACGCCCCCCCTTCATATATCCCAGGGTTGGGCTCCAATTTTATGTCCAATCGGAAACCACACGAAGCCTGGGATAGGGGTCGACATATCCCCTGTTAGAAGGCGTCCGAGCAGAAGTCTTCGGCATGCCCTCGCAGCTCCTCCGCTAGAGTGCACCAGTGTCGATTGGCGTCGATCCGTGGGAGCCAGGAAGATGGCACGGGAGGCGCCCGTGAGCTGCTACCGACGAAGTCAGAGGAGGAAAGGGAACTGATGCCCCGCTACACTTCCCTTTTCGCCACGGCTGGGTTCGCCGCGGAGTCCTGGTCCGAACGCACCCCCTGAGAAGTCCGTGGCGAAGCGGTCTCGGTACTTCGGCGCCCCCTCCCCCAAAGAAGGCCGCGGACGAGAAGACGGCCGCGTCGTTCGCGCAGCGGGATTCCGAGGTCTTCGACAGGCAGCAGGCGGTTGAGTTGAACACAAGGACTAGAGCGCGACGAGGGTTTGGAGAGGCCACGAAAGAGGGGGCGGCAGCGACGACGGAGGATGAAGTGCAGGCGAATGCCGCGGCGGAGGCTTTGGCGAACGACGCGGTTTTGTTCAAAGACGCGGCACAGGAGGAGGCGAAGAGCGGCAGGGTTGAGTTGATGGCACAGGCGGAGGAGGCAGCCGAGGCTAAGGCCGCGGCTGAGGCGACGGTTAAGGCCGCGAGTGTGGCGAGGGCTGTGGCGCAGCAGGATGCGAGGGCCGCGAAGGAAGCTGAGGCCTTGGCCCGCGCCGAGGCCGAGGCTGCGTCGAGCGCGGAGGCCAATGCGCGGCAGGAGCTGGCGGCGCAGGCGGAGGAGTCGTCGGAGGCGAAGGCCGCGGCGGAGGCGACGATGAAGGCGGCGATGTTGGCGAGGGCCGAGGCGCAGCAGGAGGTGGAGACCGCGAAGGAGGCGGTGGCCTTGGCGCGCGCCGAGGCCGAGGCTGCGTCGAGCAAGGAGGCCAAGGCGCGCCATGAGCTGGCGGCGCAGGTCGAGGAGGTAGCGGAGGCCCAGGCCGCGGCGGAGGCGACGGCGAAGGCTGCGAGTCTGGCAAGGGCTGCGGCGCAGGAGGAGGCGAAGGCCGCGAGTGAGGAGGTAGCGGAGGCACAGGCCATGGCGCAGGCGACTGCGAAGGCTGCGAGTTTGGCGAGGGCCGCGTCGTTGGAGGAGGCGGAGGCCGCAAAGAGGGGGGAGGCAGTGGCGCGCGCCGAAGCCGAGGCTGCGTCGGGCGCGGTGGCCAAGGCTCAACATGAGGCTGCGGAATTCGCGGAGGACGCGGCGGAGGCGACGGCCGCGGCGGAGGCGACCGCAAAGGCCGCGTCTTTGGCGAAGGCTGCAGCGCAGGAGGAGGCAAGCGTCGCGCAGAGGGCAGAGGCCGAGGCCGCGGAGGCCCGGGCAGAGGCCGAGGCGGAGGTGGCAGCGGCGCGCGCCGAGGCGGAGGCTTCGGCGAGCGAGCAGGCCAGGGCGCGCGAGCAGCTCTCGGCGCAGGCAGAGCTGGTGTCGGAGGCCCAGGCCGCGGCAGAGATGACGGTGAAGGCTGCGGCTTCGGCGAAGGCCGCGGCTTTGGAAGAGGCTGCAGCCCGCACAAAGGACGCTGCGAACTACGAGGCCAAAGCCCACTCGCTGGAGCAGCAGCTCGCTGAGCTCGACCTCGCATGGGAGCAACGGGTGGCTGAGGCCACGCAGAAGAATGCGGAGGAGCAGGCGCAGGTCAGGCTGCAGCTTGAAAGCCTGAAGAGAGGACGACGGATGCCGATGTACCGGCAGGTGCCGTACCTGCCGCCTCCCGACGCCAACGTTGTGATCGATGACGGCAGCGGAGCCCCACGAGGTGCGCCAATGTCACCCTCTGTTGCCGCTGCCCCAACGCCATGGCGCGTTGGTACACCAGGATTTGTCCAGGCCTCAACCTTCGAGAGCAAGTTCTGGACGCTCGACCACCAGCTCTCCGACTTCTGGACCGTGGCGGTATGGTCATTGATGCTTCTGTTTCCCGCCGGCTGCTGCGGGATATGCCTGCTCTCCATGCGGCGCCGTCCGAGGGCGGAGGACGAGCACCTGATGCGCTGAGACTGCTCGACGCCTTCGTCGTTTGTCCCACGCTCTCTCTGCTCCTACTCCCTGCCCCCCGCCCGGCAGACAAGCAGCAGCGGGGAACGAAGGAATTGGATGGCGCGACAAGCGGAGGGGGCGGAGCAGCGGTATTGGCACTTTTTTTGTCTCCCCATGGGAGGTTAAACGGCAGGCATGGGCAGCACGCATGTAGTGTCAGCGCCGGTAGATGCACGCCTAGCCCTGGAGCGCTAACATGTGCGCCCAGTGGAGGCACCGGTTTCTGTTGCCCTCTTGCCGCTGTCGTGCGCACGGCCTACGCTCTCTCCCTGGGTGCAGTTTGTCATCCCCAGGTCTTCGGGTGCGGTGGCCAACAACGGCCCATCGTGTGCACACTCGTTTTTTCCGTCTCCCTAAAACAGCGTTTGTCAGACTTCCGATCGAATGTTACGATGCGGCTACATGCGCGCGCCCCCACGCGCGCATCTGTCAAGATGAACCAAGTTCCAGTAACTCTTTGAACATGTAGGTCTTCAGGAACTAGGAGAAGCCCTTTGCTGTTCACTACTTGATGCCATGTGATGCTCCAGCAAAGTTTCCGTATTTCACGCGCGCACTTGCTGAGATCACGGGAAAGCCATAGGCATGTGGCGTTCTTGTCGAACGAGAACATGCGAGCCATACACGCGCGCACGTCGAAAATATCGAACTATCATCGCGCACCCGCCAATGCCGTCAAATATGCCACCATGCGGGCCGCTCGCGCCTGTCAACGCGCGCGCACGTCGAACTCCTTCCCAAACCATTGCTTTCTTATGCGTTTCAGCAGGCGTCGACTTACACTGATCTGACCACCCGTTTTCTGTTCTTCTGAACTGCTGTCAGGATTGTTGGGCATTTGCGCGCACTCACACTTCCTCATCATCCTCACCAGCACCATCGTTCTCATCATCGCCAGCGTCATCATTGCCACCGTCATTACCATCATCATCACCACCACCATCACCGCCAGTAACGTTCGTTATCGTCATCGTCGTTGTCGTCGCCCTCGTCGTCGGCGCTCCCATGTTCAGCAGCACTCGCCCGCCCGAGCCATGGATCTGCACTCTGCACGAGAAAAGGCCCTCGCGTCACTACGTCAGCTGAGGTTTGCCAGCACGTTGCGGCCGGGTGGGGCATTTGATCCAGCGCTGGAGTTGACGACGAGGAGCATTAGAGTTGACGATTTCAAGCTTATCGTAATTAGTTGCGCCATGTACATCTTTCTGGTCAAAAGAAGAATCGACTCTACCACCCTCACGCGCTGGGGGTCATCCGCGTACCTTTTTGCATTGTAAGTTGCATATTGTTTTGCCACATCGTTCATTTTCCTTGCGAAATGAGACCATCCCAACCGAAACAGCATCGCGCCACCCCCCTCTTCATTGCCTCAGAATGCAATGCGCGTACCTTGCGAACCAAGATGCACAGTCCACACGCCGACTCACATGTCAAAGCGGTGCAAAACACATTCATTATGACAGCACTTCTACACACAGCACATTACAAACCATTGCGTCAGTTGTGAATCTGCCACTTGCTCCATGGCTAAACGCAATGAGAAGGCATACAGGCGCGCATCCAGACATCCACAGGCATGTCGGCACGCATGCAGGTATGTGCTCTTTCATCGACAAAGCATGCAGTCTACGCGCGTTCGAGTGCACGTACAGTCACACATGCCTCTAGTGACCCGGAGAAGGCCGCCCACGACTTCATACCTTACGTTGGCGTAGCCCCGCAGACGCGCAAGGGAGTGAGATAGCCCTCCAGGCTCGAAACATCAAACCAGGACAGACGTCCACCGTTGGCGCTGATTTTCTTGTGCAGTGGATTTGTTGCGTGGCATGAGTCCTGCGCCATCGTCAGAGCGGGAAGCCGTGGGCCCCAGGCAGGGCCCCTGGCTCAATCGGCCCCCAGCGCGTCCTTTTTTTTTTCCGAGAGCAGAAGCCACGCACCCCGGCGGGCTTTTAGAGTTCCAGCATGAAGACAGACACGCGTACACGCGAGCACGTACCGACGTAAGCGCGTACATGGGCATGCGCGTGCAAGACATGACGCGGGTTTTTTCCCCCAGTCTTTCTCAGTTGGGTTCCCGTATTGGATAGAGCAGTGGGGTCGCCAGTGCCCTTCTCCTCCCCCTCCCCCCCCGCTCTCCGCTCGGCTCTCTCGCATCCCTCTTGGGAGCTGCGAAGTGTGAAACTGTCGCCACTTTGGAGGGCTGCGGGGGAGGCCAGCACCGTGGAGTCCCACGCAAACCCAAACGGGACCTCGTCATCCCTGGGGGGGGGGCTGCGAAATGTGAAACTGTCGCCACTTTCGAGGGCTGCTGGCCCCCCCACGCAGATTCAAACAGTACCTCGCCATTCTCGGGGGGTTGTCAAGTGTGAAGTTGTCGCCACCTTCGAGGGCTGCTGGGGGTGCCAGCACAGTGGGGTCCCACGCAGACCCAAACGGGACCTCGCCATCCCTGGGAGGGTTGCGAAGTGTGAAACTGAAACTGTCGCCGCTTTCGAGGGCTGCTGTTGGGGCCAGCAGTGGAGTCCCGAGCAGATTCAAACGGGACTTTGCCATCCGTGGGGGCGTTGCGAAGTGTGAAACGGTCGCCACTTTCGAGGGCTGACGGCGCGCCTGAGCGCGTTTGGTGTTCGCACTGAGAGGTGCAGGAAGGAAGCTGAGTGGCATCGGGCGAGCTGGGCATTGACCGCGTTTACACTAGTATCGGGAGCTTTTAATGTTCCGAGGTGCAGCGTTAGCCGAGCAGGCGTTGACCCTTTCGGCATGGAGAAACGCGACGCTTCATTGTCTGGTTGCGACTTCGCCTGTGTAACCTTGTATTGCCCATGCTGCGTAAGATGTTTTTTCCACCCCGATGTCTTTCTTTGCCTCTCCTTCCCAGCACACTGCCTCCTGGCAGTTTGGATGTATGTTCTGCGAGTAAGCCATGCATACTTCGCACGATGTTGATATCCGCCGTGCGCCTGTTCTTGCAGTGTTGCAGTCGCAGTATTGTCGGCACACCGTACATCATCCCTTTGTGCCGATGGTTGGGTACGTCGCAGGGTAATTTTTTCGAATGCGTACGCGCACACGCAGACGCGACGATATACGGGCACGCGTGTGCGCTCGCAGTTTCTGGCGTTCACATGCGCGGGCATATTGCTTCACGACTGTACGCGTGTGAGCATTATTGTACTTCATACATCGGTGCCACGAAAGTTTTGGCTTGCTTCGTGCCTCCACCAAAACAAGAATTAGGCGGGAACGTCATTGCGAGTTCGAGCTGGACATGTGCCGACTTCTTCTTCCTAGGAAATCCTGGGCGGGAGCGCCCCGTCGAAATCGAACCAAAGGTTTCGACTTGCAGATTTCAGGAAGTCCTGGGCGGGGGTGCCATTTCGAAATCGAGCCTGGAAGGCTCCGAAGTCTATTTCGGAGGGAGACGTGGACGGGAGCGCCACTTCGAAGACAGACCAGAAAAGGGTTCGAAGTCTATTTTGGAGGGAGTCTTCGGCGGGAGCGCCATTTCGAAATCGAACCCGGAAGTTTCGACATCATTCGAAATTGCTTGTTTCAGGATGTCTCAAGCGAAACAGTCTTTTCGAAATGGGTCCCTGGCCCTCCCTGGGTGCCATCAGGCGCGCAACTGCTGCCATTATCTTGCGCAACTGGGTGGTCCAGCAGAGTGGTGACACATGCAGATCTGGAGGGGCCACGCTCCTCTAAGTGCTGCTGGTCGTCCAGCTGCTCCCCGTGTTCCTGAGCCCGTGAGTCGTCCAGTGGAGCGGCGTCCTCTTCCGATGCACAAGCCCAGATGCAGCCTCGCCGTGCTCAGCGCTGCCAGACGCGTGCCCCTCCCCACCTTCCTGCGCTGGGGGGCCCAGCGGAGCGGCGCCCTACAAACCTCCTCAAAATCAAAGGCAAGTTTTTAATGTTGATCGACGCCCGAAACGTGGCCCACGGGGTCAGATTTTCGTGTTTGAAGTCGGCAATTCGGGGTCCTGGGGCGCCGCCACGTGGTAGGAAACAAATGCGCTTGATTCTATAGGCTTTCGCCACATCCGCCGACCCCTCTATAAGCTACTGCGCGTCCAGTTCAGGGTATTGTGTGTGGCACGCTCTGGGATGTCCGTTGGGATCTCGTGGCGAGGATTCTCGCGGGCCTCTTCGAGGCAGTTTCGAAGGGTCTTGGGAGCAGTTTTGGGGCTTCTTGTGGGCCTCTTGGGGGATCCTTAGGGCCTCTTGGGCGCCTCATTGGGGCCTCTTGGGGCCGCTTGGGGGCCTCTTAGGTCCTCCGGAAAGCTACGTTGGGCGGAGCGCTGGAATTCGCGGTTCGTGGTCCCTCTCTTGGGCCTTTCTCGGGACCTTCTTGGAGCTCTCTTGGGCCGTCTAGGGCGCCTCTTGGGCCACGGTGGAGCTCTTTTGGGTTGTCTTTGGGGCCGCCTGGGAGCCTCGTGGGCCGTCTTGGGGTGGTCCTGGGGGCCTCGTGGAGGCCTCGTGGACGGTTTTCAACGCTGTGAAGGCTAACAAGTTAGATATGCTGAAAATGCGCGTTTTCTCTAGGGATTTTCGAGATTTGGGTTTCTTAGGAGCTTCTTGGGAGGCCTCTTGGACGCTTCGTGGGGTGTATTGGCGGCCTCTTGAGCCGTTTTGAGCTCATCTTGGGCGTCTTGGAACGATCTTTCGGCAACTTGGGGTTCTCGTGGACCGTCTTGGCGGCTTCTTAAGAGGCGTCAAGTGCTGTCGTGCAACTCAAGAGCTAGCTCAGGGAGCCCAGATCGCCCCGGATGATTTCGGTCCGGGGTGGGGCCCGGGCCGGAGGGTGGGGGGTCAAAATCCTGGTTTGGGGTCCCTGGGGGGGGGATTATGGGGGGGAACAATCTCACACGCCTGGAGATCCACAAGGGGTCGGCGGATTTCGAATAGGGATGTAGGGAGATCCTGCCCAGGGTCCTGCCAGACGTCTTGGGTCGGTTGGGCACGTCCTTCCGTGTCTGTTCCACGGATCGGGCCCGTGACGCGAGAGAATCCATGCTGCAAGAAGCGGCATCCCAGACAGCCCTCGCGCGGAATTCGGGCACAGACGCCCTGAGGTGGCAGTGCGAGGTGCGCGGCAGCGGGTGGGGTGCGAGGGCCAAAGGGGAGGGGACGGTTCGGGGAAACGTAGAACTCGAGTACGCCGGAACTTGGATTTGCCGACGCTTTTGACGAGCGCGTCCTGGATTTTGACGGTCCAGTTTTCGTGGGATTTTCGCAGCGGGAATTCGCGTCAAATATCAGAATGGTTTTCCTTATTTTCATGATGGCCCCGTCAGGCCAACCCGAGTCCCGCGAACCCGAGTCTGACGTCTCCCAGAACGGTGAGAAGGGACGGGGGAGTGGCGGGGAGTGGCAGTTGCAGCAGAGCGGCAAGCCAGGGAAACGAGGGGGCGAGGGCCAGGAGAAGAGGGGGGCAGAGGGAGATGGGAGGGAGCCGGGCGCGCCAGCGGTGGGGTTTACGGCGCGGCGCGGGGGGGCGAGGCAGCGCCAGGGGGGCAGGGACAGACAGAGGACGGAAGGGGGGAGACGGGGCGGGGGCGCAGCAGAATTTAAGCAGATCTCTCTCTCTCTCTCTCACTACACACTACACACAAACACACGCACACGCACACGCACACGCACACGCACACGCACACGCACACGCACACGCACACGCACGCGCACACGCACGCGCACGCGCACGCGCACGCGCACACGCACGCGCACGCGCACGCGCACGCGCACGCGCACACGCACGCGCACGCGCACGCGCATGCACACGCACACGCACACGCACACGCACACGCACACGCACACGCACACGCACACGCACACGCACACGCACACGCACACGCACACGCACACGCACACGCACACGCACACGCACACGCACACGCACACGCACACGCACACGCACACGCACACGCACACACGCACACGCACACGCACACACACCACACACACACACACACACACACACACACACACGCACACACGCACACACGCACACACACGCACACACATGCACACGCACACGCACACGCACACACACTTTCACACACTTTCACACACACACACACACACACACACGCACACACGCGCACACACACGCGCACACACGCGCACGCGCACGCGCACGCGCACGCACACACGCACACGCACACGCACACGCACACGCACACGCACACGCACACGCACACGCACACGCACACACGCGCACACGCACGCACACGCACACGCACACGCACACGCACACGCGCACACACACAGACACACACACACACACACACGCGCGCGCACACGCACACGCACGCACGCACGCACGCACACACGCACACATTCACACACACACACACACACACACACACACACACACGCACGCACGCACGCACGCACGCACACAAACACACACACACACACACACACGCACACACACAGACACACACACACACACACGCACACACACGCGCGCACACACACGTGTTGCACACGGGAGTGCTGAGGAAGATTCTCGCGTTGCCACACGTTTGGGAGCGTGGGCGTTTTCGAGAAAGAGAACAAGCATTGAATGGTCCAAGCGCCATGCGAAAAAGACTTCGTACTTGTGCTGCAGGTCCCGCCATCCACGATTCCGTCTGCCCCTCGCCATCTTTCCCACGTTGCATACTGAGGCCAGTCTGAGTGGGCGCATCGCCTGGCAACGTTCAAGGAGTGAGATGCTTGGTCCGCGCCGGTTGCGTATGCTGGGCTTTTTTTCATCGGAAGCCAGCGCGGCGGCGCGCTCACAAGAGTGCGTCTAGAGTCTAGGCAGGGCAGCGAGCAGGCTGCAAGCTGCAGCACTCGACATGGGCGATGTTCCTCCACGCAGTTTGGCGTTGTGCAGAAACGGACGTATCAGGAGCTTTTGCTTGCGCAAGTGGGGACCGCAGTCGTATCCATAACAAGCGAACGACAACGCAAGTGGGACGCCGGAGTGCGCAGCGGGAGATGTGATAAGAGTGGGATTCCAGGTGTGGAAGTCCTTCGCCAGAAGGTCCACTTCTGGTGCGTGCCGCCTCGTCCTGGCGTCGACGTCGGCGCTGGCATGCACGATTGAACAGAAGTGCTTGGTTGGGCATTCCCAGTTTTCACCACGTGACGGGCCCGCGGGGCCTTGTGGGCGCCCCCCGCGACTGGGAGGTATGCCTACGTTGCGCCGCGTTGCCGCCCGTGCCGCCTCATGGGCACCTCACGCGTGGGGGGTATGTCGAGGTTGTGCAGCGTTGCCACTCGTGCCGCGTAGTTGGCGCCTCTTGGGCGCCCCCACAGAGCTTACATCGTTCCGTTTCCACAGCGGAGCTTGCATCACACAGCTTACACGCCATAACTTCCACCTCCGATTCACACCGCAGAGCTTACACTAAGTAGCTTATTCCGCACAGCTTACGCCGCATAGAGTTGTCACACCCGTATGGCTTGCACACCATAGCTTTGATAACACAGCTTGCACCGCACATCGCTTCCAGCTCCACAGTGCAATAACGCACTGACGTGGGCCCAGGCTGGCTAACACAGCTCCACAGACATAAGTGTGCTAGCCAGCATATGCCCCAAACGGTAAGTCAATGCGTTGTGGATGTGCAAGATGCATGGTGCAAGCATGTGGTGCAAGCTATGTGGCGCAAGCTGTCTGGCGCAAGCTATGTTGAGCAATGTACGTTGTAAAGTCTGCGTGTGCATGCTCTGTGTTGCAAGCTGTGTGGTGCAAGCTATACGGCTTAAACTAACATGGTGCAAGCCAAGTGGTGTAAGCTATGTGGTACACGCTACGTGGTGCTAGCTGTGTGGTGCACCCGAATATTTGCGATCTTCGTTTTGCAGGACAGGTGATGCAAGTTTTGTGATGTTAGCCAAGCTATCTGGTGCAAGATATGTGGTGGACGCTATGCTGTACTGTATACGTGGAGCAAGTGATCGGGGTGCCCAAGCAGCGCCCAATGACGGGCACCCCGCGACACCTCCTCTTATCCCCCCCAGCGCGGGGCGCCCACGAGGCGCCCACGGGCGGGCACCAGGCGAGACATCGGCATATCTCCCCAACGCGGGGCGTGCCCACGGGCGGGCACCACGCGAAACCTTGGCATACCCCCCAGCACGTGGCGCCGACAAGGCATCCACGGGTGGGCACCAGGCGAAATTTCGGCATACCCCGCCAGCGCTGGGCGCCCACGAGTGCCCAAGAGGCGCCCATGGGCGGGCACCCCGCGACACCTCGGCATGCCCCCCCAGCAAGAGGCACCCACGAGGCGCCCACGGGCGGACACCAGGCGAAACCTCGGCACACCCCCCAAGCGCGGGGCTCACTCGAGGCGCAAATGGGCGGTCACCAGCCGAAAACTTGGACTACCCATGCAAATATTTGAGCAGCCGATGTAAGACCCTCACAGTGCGAGCATGGGTTGGGAAATGCGATATATATATATATATATATACAGATATACACGCATACATCTGTGAGCATACCAATATACTTGATCATGTGGAGATACGTGTTTGTACACACTGTAAGTGTACGCAGGTGTAGATCTACCCGAGTGAACGATGGGCAGACAGTGCGTGGTGATTTCCGAGGGTGGACATCGTTCAAGCTAAAATTGTTCAAAATTGCCAGACACCAGGTCCCACGCCGTCAAGACAGGAACTTTCCCTAGTTCAAGCGGGCGTGGCGGATCTGCGCGAGTTCGTCGTTGCGGCATGTGTAATGCATTGTGCCAAGCTTAAATGGCAGCGCTTCGGTTACATCACAAAGACTTGGGACAGCAGTTGGTCAGAGTCCAACCCCATTCGACTCCATGCATGGTCCCCTGCGTCAGGACTATATACCCCATCGGGCCAGCCGCACTGGCAGCCGTCGCGCGATCTTGTTTTGATGATGTGCGGAGCGTGTCCAGCCAGCAGCGGCTGCGGTATCCCCCAAAACATATTGTTCAATCCCTCCTTCAACTCTCCCGCAGTCATGTTCGCAACAGGTTTTGGCTCAGGAACCAGTCGTCTCCCCGGCACTTAGAAGACTATTGAAGGGTGATTCCAGCGGCTGGCGCCAGCTCCAAGCGCCGTAACCTTGGGAGACAGGAAGGTCACATAACCAAGCCTTTCATACTCATGCCAACAGCAAGCATACACACGCAAACTATCTTCCTCTCTCACGCACTTCGTGTCGCAGCGAATCCAATATGTAGCGCCACGTCTGGCCAAGTCCCACCAAGAATGACAACAGGATGCGTGTGCATAGTTCTCGCATGGCTTTGCTACAGATGAGCACTACGCGGGCCCTCCTTTGGCGGCTCCGACGGAACCGTGCAAGGCCAGATGGCGATCTGACGGGCATCTGCATGCACATAGGGTTGTCATCGTTGGATCATGGCTTGCCCCCCTCCATCTGATGGATTCGTGGTTCGGGGGCTCCAGGGTCGGAAGCGCATGCGGCCCTTCTTGAGACTGTGGTGGGTTTGCTGTGCCACTTTTGGCCTGCGCGCTATGGGGCCACCTTGGGAGCATTATCCGGACGTGCCAGGGCCACCTCAGGGCACGGGGGCCAGGTTGAGCAACCGTACGCGATGTTGGACATTCTTCGGCCCGGTTGGGGCTAGGGCACTATCGGAACCCGTGTGTGCCGTAAGCACTCCTGAACCCTGGAGCCTGCTTAGGCTTCTCCCAGGGCCATTTGCGGGCCTTCTCTGGACTCTCTGAAACCTCTTACGGCCCCTTTGGAGCTAATTGGGAGGGAGCTGGAACTCTCTTGGTGGCTGGACCCTCGGCGCACAAGCAACTGCAAAGGCGCCCTCGGACCAATCTCAACCGGCCACAATCTCGCAGACAAGCAGAGCCGGGTCAGTTTCTGATATGCTCGAAGCTTCTTACACGACCACCCTTCGGGTGAGAAGGAGTGTGGGGAGTGGGGAAAAGACAAATAGTTGGCAACTGCGATGGGTGTGATGATGACAATGACGGTAGCACGCCCTCGAGTTGGCGGCGGCGCGTGATGGCGATGTTGCGCCGCGATGCGTTGCTATTATCGAGCACACTTTCGATATCACTCGATCTATCTCACTATCGACCTCACGGCCAGACTTCGTATCGATGGATCCAGCGATCGATCCCATGAGCAATCTCACACTGAGTGGCGCTGAGTACGATCGGGACACCATCGGGACACAATCGAGCCAAGTCAGTGCCATCGCCGCTGCGCTGCGACCGGTGCTTGCTGACTGTGGTGGTTGAGTGTTGCTGGCGATGTGATGTTTTTGTTCTGCACTCGCGCCGTCGCCAGCAAGTGAACTGCACTCCAGTAGCCCAAGCCCGAGCCTGATCTCACTACCGATTTCACATGCGATTTCTAAAGCGAGCTCAATCGATCTCACAATCGAGCTCACATATCGATCCCACTATCGATCCCACTGTCGATCTCGCAATCGATCGCACTATCGACTTCACAATCGATTGTACTATCGATGTAGCTATCGATCTCACTATCGATCTCACTGCCGCTCGCACGATCGATGCAATTACCGATCCCAATATCGACCTCGGGATCGATCCGACTACCGATCCCACTACCGATCTCACCACATCTCGGTTGTTATCGATCTCACTATCAATCTCAGTATCGATCGGGACACCATCGGGACACCACGGCGGAACACCGCGGGACACCATTGGACACCACGGGACACCAGAGGACACCAGAGGACACCACGGGACATCACGAGACACCATCGGGACACCACGGCGGGACACTATCGGGACACCACGGCGGGACACAGCAGGACACCATCGGGACACCGCGAGACACCACGACGGGACACCCCAGCCACCGCGCGCCCGCCGGAAGGCCCGACTTTTGCATCCGAGTCGCCCCAGCGACGGCGGGATCATTCCTTTCGCGCGCCCGCGCAGCTTCGCCCCGCCCTTACGCACGACACGAGCACGAAACCGAGGCCGATTGCCCGGTGGGGGGTCTCTCCGTTCCCCTGCGATCTCATCCTCCATTCTCCGATGGCCCACGCGGAGGAGAGCAAGTATATGTTCTGCGCGCTGCCAGATTTACAGTTTTTGAAGAGTGCCAAGCCAGCCGCGAGTTATCCATCCTCCTCGGGTCGCACAGGGGGAGGGGGGGGCACTGGGCAATCAAATAGTCAAAAAAGCTACGCCCTTATGTGGCCCGATGGTCGCGTGTGGAGTTTTTGTAGATCTGGTTCAAGTTGGGTCTGTATTGCACTGCCAATTGGTAGTGCAATTCATTTGCTCCGGCCGTGCATGATCGCCGAGACCAAGAAGGCGCACCCTCCTCCAGGGAAGTAGGGCAAGGCTGGGGCAGACTCACTTTCTCATTTCGGCTTCTGCCCTTCGCTGCCACGTGGGTGGACAGCGTCAGCCCGCCTGCTGGGGCTCTCGAATGCAAGAGGCTTTCACAGTACACGCAGCGACAACCCTGAGAGCCCGACTTGCTAAGTAGTCACCATCTGAAGCTCGAGACGAATTGTCACCTCTCTCGCAGGGCGATCAGAGGGTAGGGTCAAGTGCGCGGGTGCCTTCCTCTGTTCATGTGTTTGTTATTAAGTGCTTATGTTGGCTTGATCATTAGTTTCTCTTGGCAGGCCAGGGGTGACCCGCCACTGGAAGGGCTCGGAAAGCTCGCTAGA